CCATTGTGAAGAGAAGGTTCCAATACAAAAGCCAAAATTACATTTTTCCCCTCACATTAATTCATTCCTTGTAAAACGTTGCAAAAAATTAAATTCCCATTTCTGGTCATGGCAATAACTCCGCCCATACAGGTCTAGAGAAGCAATATTGGGAGGCCGATAAATGTCTCAAATAGTCACTACTGCAGTAGTAGCGGTGGATGTGGACCTTTTATTTCCCAAGAGAAGATTTGATACCGAGTTATTGTTGGTAAGATCGATTCAAGCCAAGATGTACTGCAATGTTCCAATTTGCTTGAGATAGGTTCATATATTATCTTTTTTTGTCCATCATCATTAAGCGGAAATCCCTTCAGTTTGGCTTATGTCCTTGAGTCCAGACAACACGATGCAGACGCCACTGTGAGAGGTCTTTGATTAAAACACCCAGCATGGGGGACTACTAAGAGATGCTGTCAGACATCTTAAAACAAGTCCGTCCGTCCATCTTGAACACCTACATTCCTATGTTTACAGTCGCAGTAACCAGTTCCGTAATGTTTGATTCCTTTATAGTGTCTCTTGCACAAGTATTGGGGTTCCAAAAACAACAACTTGATAAAAAAGGAAGCTTGGTCACTTCATCTTGTATCCTCAGAGGTTTTTCACTCAAGGAGTCAGTCTGGTTTTGATTGGGTTACGCCAGGAGGCGGCAGGACTCGCTGCTCCTCCATCCTGTTGGACTGGGAACGCAGGATGAGACTGAAAAAATCTTCGTCTGGAACAGTTGGTCCCTTAGTTTTAAAAGGCGGAGCGGCACACCTCTGGTCGTTCAGTCGGGAGCCCTAAAACATTGACAAGAGACAGCTGTGAGTGCAGTTATATGAGCTGATGCATATCACTGACTAAATGAAAAGCTCTTAAACGTTTAGACTATGTACAATGCAAGTATTTGAGAGGAAATAAATCTGCTTATTTGGGTGTGATCAATAAATACCAAAGCACCAAGATGGTGCCTCTGAAATGTAGACTTTTTCTCACCTGGCACTTAACTAGCATGTCGAAGAAGACGTCATCCCCTTCAGGCTGCTCAGTGCTGGCCTCGATTTGACTGTACAGGGAGGGTATGTGAGCCGTATTTGTGCTGGAGATCGGGGCTGGGAGAAGAGATGAGTATTAGCCACGAAGTGAGTAGTGATGGAGATGACCAAAAATCTGCAATATTTGATTACCTTGTGGGGGGACTTGATCTGTGCTGGAGGTGGAGGGTGTACGAGGCGGGTTGGAGGTGCTGAGTCGTAAGCCAGGAAAACGGCTCAGGCTCACTCGTTGGTCGTCCAGCCGACGGGCCTGGGAGCTGGCCAGCTGCTCCAGGAAATGACCAGGATCCTGCAACGGTGTTTCGCACTCCGAAATAGCTAGAAACAGAGGTACTTATTATCTGGGTGGGATTTGGATCAAATGGTGTATGGTGCGTTACAATCGCGCTGGTAACCCGTGAGTTGGGTCTTGTTACTCGTCTAACCAGCATTTCAGTCGGATTTGTAGAAAAGGATGAGATGTTTCTGGGATACAGTTATTCAAGGAAATTAAAAGCAACGCTGCAACCAAAATCCATCTTTTGAGCATCAAATGTCCCATGCATGCTGTGATAAGCTTGGATTCATGACCATTACAAAGGCGTGCAACAATAACTATTTTGAAGATTGGCAGAAAGTAAAAGGAAAGGTCCACAGAAGCTGCTTTGCTCAGTGAAGGATGACACTACACACTTCAATGGCAAGAAACAGCAAGTGTTTGATACTCAAATCACAGATTTTCTTTGTGGGTTATTACTTTAAGTCCTCTTTGACACAAACAACACAAAGGATTGCACAACATTTAACACACAAAGGACACATGCTGCATTCACACCATAGGAGCAAAACTGAGTCGCCACCAGGGCGACTCTAAATATGATGACTAATTGGCTCGTCTTTAATGAAGGACAAACTTATTGCTTAATAAGAAAATTACAAATGACTGTATTATTGTACTATTACATATGGTGTGAACACAAGGGGCTGACTCACGTTTCCTTTCAGCTACAGGTGGGGTGGAGGAGGGAGAGGGAGGAGCAGTGAGATGGCTCTGGCCATCCAGTGGGGAGCACCTTTGATCGTCCATTCTGCTGCCCTGGAAACGAGAGAGGAGGTCGAAAAAGCCATCCTCTCCAATCGTGTCCCGTGATCCAGGCTAGAGTGAAAAAACAAAACAAATAGACTTAACACATTTCCACACAGAAACATTTCCTCATGCAGTCTTAACGTATGTGGAACAAATCTGTGAGCCTGTGTCATAGGAGACATGTTTCACTTCTAAATGTGTCTTAAGTGTGAATCATCATTGCTCGTCTTGTGGGTTCCATGGATGTTATGAGTGAGCAGGATAATCTAGTGTATTTAGAAATACCTTAGACACCAGTGCTTCCTGCTCAGGAGCCGAGTGCTCGGTGCGGTTTTCATGCTGGTATTTGGGAGAGGATTTGGGGTTCTTCTGCTTCTTGCTTTTCAGCCGATGGAAGAGGAAGAGCTTTGTAGAAGCCTTGATTGTGTTGTTTTTTGAAGATCCAGGGAACACATCCTCTTCCCAGTCCTGTACATTCAAATAAGAGTCAGAGGTGTAAGGTTTTAACCATGCTAACACTATGGGTTGGGTGAACAGGTTCTTGAGGAAAAGGAAACTATTATAATTTTACATGACAAGAACAGAGGTTTCTTCTCATGTTGGCCCACATGTTCCTGAAGCAGAAGCACAAGGCGGACCTCATTCATCTTGCAATTAAGACGGTTGCTAAGCACCAAATTCAGGAAGACTCCACCCTCCCCTTTAGTGCACTCATTGTCACAACAGCAGTTATTTGAAAGAAAAACCATGTTATTTTAATAACTTAAATGTATATTGACAAGCACAGCTGTACTTACAGTTGGACATTTTTTATATTTCAAGCTAAGCACATTTGAAGTGCCTTCATTTCATACATACTGGATGTGCAGATGAATCCCCAGTTTGATTTTTGTCAGGACTTGGACTCAGTCCAAGGTTCTCTGCACTGTCTCTTATCCTTACTGAAGACTTGACCCCTGAAAAAAAGATATTCAATAGCGTGGCCACTTAATATTTATCCATCACTTTCGCAACTACAGGACATCTGTGTTTTAAAAAGGTGCCCTGTGGTGCTGTGGAAATGACATGCTTTCCTGGGGAGTGCAAATTTACCTTGGAGGCTGGGGTAACCCTGGTAGCTCACTGGCAGAGCAGCGCTATTAGTGTTGGAGTTGCGGAAGATGTTTGGGTGAATGTTGGACTTCAGGCCTACGACCATCCGTAGGTCCGACAAGTTCATCCTGGCTGTCACTTCGCCGCTCTTGTCTCCAGTCTGCAACATCAAAGCTAATGTAAGCATATGACTACAAAACAAAGACAAAATAAACTATTGTTAAGTAATTCATTTTTACACTGGCTTTGCAGTTTCCTTAATGAATGACATGATTCCCTGCTGTTCCTCATGCAACCACTAGAGGGGGTGTGGCCTGATGGCAGCTACTGATTGCACCCTGAGGGAGGAGGTAAACAGTCACCTCTCTGGCAATTTCCAGATGTTTCTCAGCAAAGTACATGGCTTGCTGGTGATTCCCCAGGGCGGTGTGGGCATTTCCTAGACTCCAGTATGCTCGTCCTTCACCGACTCTGCAGCAAGACACAGAGGGAAACAGGCTGATCAACTTTAGCTGAGATTGCGCAACAATGGGAAGGGCATCAAACTTTCATGCAAAAGTTGTAATGGAGGGAAAGCCTTTACACTGACTTTATCTGTATGGTGAAGAAAAAAAACATCTTTTGATCGGCCTTTTAATGTCGAAGTTAGTTGATGAGGAGCTAATGTAATCTATGAGAGTAAAGAGTGCTTTACAAAAGACCCATTTGCATCTTTTCTAACAACTCATAGCGGTTATGTGTTAATGACATTAAATCTCTACTTTTCAGTGTTTTGCCGTTTAATTGTCGCTTCATGGGTGTTGGCAGGTAATTAGTTCAGAGCCCCCCCCCCCCACATTGAAACTGTACGTTCTCATTACACCTCAAAGACAGTTTGGCAGAACGCTGACAACAAATGGCTTTTATTGCCGATACCTGTCATTGAGGTCCTGAGCAATGACCAGATGTTTGAGGTGGTAATCAATGGCTCTCTCGTAGTCCTGCAGTAGTGTGTATGTGTTGCCCAGACTGTAACAGGCCTGGGCCTCCACAGCTTTGTCCTTCAAAAGCCTGGCCAGCTGCAGAGTCCTCCTGAGGGCAAAACAGAAGAGGAGGAAGACGGTCAAAGAAAAGAATGTCTAGGGTGGGAGCAGGAGGATGATGGTTATCTGTTGCTTTCTTTGCTGCAATTTCCCAAGGCCTTCTATATGAAGAACATACTGGATTAAAACGCTGGAATATAATCAACTGGCTTCTGAGCAACTACACGTCTGTACAGGTCTGTGGTTGTTATAAATGACTGTTGTATTCAAAACATTGTCTTCTTTATATAACCACAACAGCAACACTTTTCAAGTAGTTGTAAGCAGATTTAAGGACATTCTTATTTCCTGGTGTGCTCATGCACTTTAAATTGTGCTTATGGTTTTGTGCATTTAATTGTGCTTGCGTATTTATGGGTCTGTGCTTATGTGCTCTTGTGGGTTTTCTTTTAATACCATCAACCTCCCAGGGAAATTAGCCTGCACGGCTGAATCTGGTACATTTACATGGTGGCTCACGTTAATGAATGTGCTTAAATAAAATAAACATAAATCAAGTGTTTCTTAATTTACAGTATTTGTCAGCAAACTTCTACAGTGAAGATGTATTTTATATTCTAACTTTAACTAGATTATCATTCATTTTATGTTCATACAGCAGCCCACAGGAGGAGTTTAATCTGCTGATAAATTACATTAATAAAGACATATCTGCTTACAACTACATTATAGTATGTTATCACCAATTTATTGAAGAAAACGTTTTTCAGGATCAGGACTGTGCTAAAATCAGAAATGATATCAGTGGACGTTTTGTCCGCGTATGATGAAGATATCTGTCAAAGACCATGACGACGTGAGGAAGGCCTCCAGCCTCACGCGTTACTCACTTGTAATGACCCGCCGCCACTTCGAACTGGCTGAGGAATATGTGAGCATTGCCAAGGTTACAGTGGGCCCTCCTCTCAGCAGACTTATCCCCAAACTCTTTAGCGATGAGCAGCCGCTGCCGACAGGACAAACAGTAGGGAGCGCATTACTCAGATTACAAGAAGATCAAGATGGACACATCCTTCACAATCATGAGGTCGAAGGAAAACAAAAAGGTATGTGGGTAAAAACGTCTACATCCTCTTCAAAGAACAGTGTGTAACATAGAGAGGGATTAACTGTCGGAAATGGAATATAATATGTATAACTATGTAAAATTATGTTTTTGTTAGCTTAGAAAAAAAGCCATTTATATCTACGCAGGTACCGTTTCTACAGCAGCCCAGAACGGACAAACTGAACGCTGGTTCTGGTGAGAACCTTTCGCATGTTTACGTTACGTGAAGGTGGGGACCGGAAAGATTAAACCGACACCAGTGCTCAATTGTTAAAGACTGGAGTATTGATAAGCCCAGACGTTAATGGTGCTTTTTAATGTTTTGCTGTAATTTATTATCACGCTGCAGTGTGCATCTCCTCTGCTCTCTCTGTCGAGGCTGAGCTCCTCCAACCACACACACACACACACACACACTGAATCGCTCTAGCTGCAGTCACTCACCCACCGCTGCTATGTTTACACAAGCACAGCACGCGCGATCGGCCAAAACATTTTTCACAAACAAGCTACAACAACAGCTGTTTGCACGCAGTCCGTTTCTCTTAGTCTGGTCTCGTAAGCGCTCCTCTCTCTACCAGCAGTACCTGCAGGCCATGAGTGAGCAGAGGGAGGAGGACTGATACTATCTGACGTCTGTGTTCTTCATTATTGATTATCATCATTTATAAAGTTACTCAGGAATGTTATTTATTTTATTGAGATTTTAGTTTAGTTTAGTTATTAATGACTTTGCTGTTGTAAACATTACCGTCGCTGCTCTGGAAACAATATTTAGTTATGTCTAAATCATAAATAACTTCTTATCCTGTTCTGAATTTATTAGTTTTTAAAAGCAACTATTTAGTGATGAAGAAGAAGAGTACTGATAAGCGTATCTCCTCGTGGTAATAAAGTCCTAGCGATACTTCTTCCTATCTGAAGGCCACCGTAGTTCTCTGACACGCTCGGAAAGACAGGAGTAGGAGTGAGGATAAGTTGTTGTAATCTGCATCCTCACCACTAGATGCCAGTAATTATCACGCTGTTCCTTTAAGGCGATGTGCAGCAGACCCTGAAGACACACATGTTTGCCGCCTACCTTTTCGTGTGCAGCTGCAGCTTTGTCAAAGTCGCCCAGAAGATAGTACGTGTTGCCAAGGTTGCCATGAGTACGACCTTGGGCCGCCTGATCGCCCAAGTCCTTCACCAGGCACAGGTTTGCTCTTTGTAAAAAAACAACAGAGAAACACTGAGGCTTTTTCATTGCTTAGTTTTCATAGAAAAGGTGTTTTCAGGATGATTTTTTTCAGGCCTCTCAACAGAAACAATCCTTTCCTTTTGGTTCCTCTTAATGAATTAACGAGGCCTGACCCGTGACACAATAATAACACATTTCAGTGAGTTAAGGGGCCAGTACGCAGTTTAAAGTACCACCACCTGTTATCTCATACTTGGATTCAAAAGTGGACCTTGACTTGAGATTATTTTGTCAAAATACTATTTCCAAGGTCAAGACTGAACTCTCACACTCAACATTATATATACTCTATAATAACATCATTGCTACATGTCAGCAGTGTTTTCTCTTACAGAGATGACAGACAAGAAAGAGAGAAGAACTTAAACTTGTTCACACTGCCACAATGTAAAAGGTTGAGGCAGCCAATGTGTGATTCAGAAAGAACTTCTTTGTTACAAAACCAACCAGCTTTGAGTAGGTTACACTTTATAATCGAGGAATTTGGCTGGAAAATTTACAAAAAGTAGAGCAGTGGGGCTGATGATAAAATATGAATATGGTAGTGAGAATTATGTTGTACGTTATTTATTTAAAAAGCAAAACGCTACATTTGCCCAGCTGAGATCTGGTATTTTGCCACTTACTGTTGATAACAGATATTGATTTTGTAAATATGGATGATGCACAACGATTGAGTTCACATGACTTTTCACATATGAAACATTTAAATTAACCATTTACTTGAGGAAAACCTGAGAGATGAGGGAAAAAAGGCATTTATCAGAAAAAACTGGAGGTAGTTCATCTCGCTGCACGAATAATTTGTTATTTGAAAGAAGATAGAAATATTTATAATGTAACTTTTTTCCACTTTTGTTTTTCTGCGAGTATTACCCGAAGATGCATGATTTGTAAGAAAAAAAAAAGGCCATTTCCTTGTAATCCCATGTGGGCTGGGCCAGATGTTTGGCATGACACAAACTAACTAAAACTAACACCGTTTATTGTGAGGAACAAACCTGTGACTCTGCAGTCGAGGTCTTGGTCTGAGGAATGAAGTCATTCCTCAGGACTTTTAAAAGAAATGCAAAACAACAAACAACTCACTCGTAGTACTGCGACGCTTTCCTCAGTGCTATCTTGGCCTCCTCTGGGAACTCTCCTGGCTCCGCTCCAGTCCAGCAGATGCTCTTGCCCTTGGCGTGGTAAACGTTCCCGAAATTATACAGCGCTCGAGCCTGCCCAACCTACAGCACGCACACCAGATTTTCACAGACGGGAAACAAGAGTGACCAGAGCTGTAATTATATATTTAAAATAAACTGACACCAGACCTGCGTGTGTTTGCATGCGGGCTGGCAAACTATTCTAGATGTTGCTGCGTCGACGCTTCGTCGTCATCACGCATGCCAAAACTGTTCTGTGGCTGCTGAGCAAGTCGTGTGGTATCGATGTGGTATTGTCAGGTTATTAAGATGAAAGGACTAAAGAAATAATCCAGCTTAAACGAAATAACTTACTTGCTGTAGTTCTAAAATATCAGTAAAATATGACCCACCTTGTCATACATGGCTCTGGTGATATCCAAATGTCTTTGGGAACAAACCACTGCTTCATCATACCGTCCTAAAAGCTTTAATGTGTTCCCAAGGTTGCCACTGGCTTTTGCCTCACCAGGTTCATCTCCAATGGTTCTGGGATTTCAAAAGGAGAAAAAAAACGTGTTTAGACAAGGATGACTTAAATGTACGAGTACAAAAACACAACAGGCAAGAAAGTAGTTTACAGGCGCAAGCAGCGATACAGTGGAGATCGAGTCTAGAAACGTAAATCATGGAGGGGGAGATGGGGATTCAAAATGTTGTGGCGTTGTTCAGAATATATTGTTAGACAGTTGGATCCTAAAATCCTCACATTGGACCGACATAAAACTAGTTTACACGGTTGGATATTACATCAGCAGGTTGCCCGATCCATATGAAGGGTTAAAGAGGAGGATGTGGTTTCAAAATAATTATTCCGGTGGTGAAAGTGTTTACCGTGTAAGTGTGAGGTCATGGCGATGGTACTCCAGGGCTTTGTTGTACTCCTGTAGGTGAAAGTAGGCATTGCCCAGCTGGCTGTAGATGGCACTAAGGATCTGGAGGTCCTCTGTTCCAACCTGGATGGCAGACTCAAAGAAGGACACACCGGCACGATAGTCGCCCGCCTTACAGAGCCGCTCGCCTTCCAGAGCCAGGTCCAGACACGAAGACTCCATCCTGCAGGGAAGTGGGAATGTGAACTCTGTGTCCAGAACTCAAGATATTTTGGAAATAATCCATACTCCATAAGCATCAGGAACTTCATTAATACCCCGACTTTACATTAGTATACCCAGAAGAAGGCTTCCTGTATTTATTACTTTGAACATTGATAGAATATTTGAGGTAAAGCAGCTTGAATACTGGAATTCGTAGTGCAGGTGGAGCCGTTAATGGACATCTACAATTACACATTAACTTCCTTATCGTAAATGTATAGACATAGATGCAATGACGCTCTCATGTGTTGCACATCGAGCGGTTGCAAGAGCCCATCACCACAATGAACATTTGATGCATCACATCGAGAGAGTAATCAAATTGTTTGATTTGTCCCACCAACAGTCCAAACCTCAAAGATATTCAATAGTACTTTACATCAAATTAACAATTACAATGTCAAAGAAAATCCTCACATTTGAGAGGCTAAAACCACTGAATGTTTAACTTACGACAACAATTTTGTTAAAACCTTTGTTAATTAATGTTCTGTCGATCAACTTATCAATGAATTGACTTCTAATCGGCAGCTACATACTATGTAGATACAGAAATAGCACATGTTAAGCAGAGAGAAGTCCAGACCATGTGGAGTCATAGACAAGAACTAGACATCCACAATAGGACGGAGCATTTCCTGTCTGTTGTGGTCCTACGGAACGAAGCTGTGCCGTACATCTAACCATGAACACAAAGTGAACTCATATCTGTGATAATGACTACCGTTGAACAGTCTCCACACGCTTCCTAAAAAAACAAGATCATCCGTTTTCGTCAACATCAACCTGCCAGTATTGAGAAAAAAAAAAAGAGAAAGAAACTATAGGATTACATCATAAGGTTGTAAAACAAATCCAGTCATGCACAGGACATCCAGCATTTGCAGGATGCAGGTTCCAGATACAACTTCAAGAGCTGAATGTAATTTGTTCCAGTTGAAGAACTGTAAACTGACTTTCCTTTCTGTAGTCAGACTTATTTACAGTTTTACGTCTACAAGCTGAATTAAAATCGCTCTTCTTCTACAGTAAGCGTACAGAAATTAAATATGCTAAGTTGAGTTTTGAGATATAATTTGATTGTATTAGAGGACAGAAGTATTAAATCTCGTCTCGACAGCAGAGACCCTTTTTCAAAACAGACTTGATGCAGAAATTTCATGAACTTATTTAAAAGAACATATTTTATAGCTCTACAGAATTAAGATATTCTTTGGACATGTTTTCTGTGATAAGTTCATCCAGGCATGTTGTGAAACCTAGGGATGCATTTGCCATGAGTATTATTTAAAGCTATAAAACAGATCAACATGCTTCCTGACATCTAAAAACAGAACAATTCATTCAATCGAAGTCAATGCAAAGTGACACATCAATGCCCGGGCCCACATACCTGCTGCCTCTCCCCATTCTGATGCACTCGAGACAGTTTGACACGACGGACATTTCACTTTTCCCGATCACTCTCTGGAGCAAACACAGCTCTTCCAGCACAACACCGTTCACCTTCTCTTCCTTCACGTGCCTACACATAACGCACGCAGCCACGCCGTCCCAATTTCATATAAATAATGAAAACACGGCTCCCTTTGGAGATCGGCTGCTGTCCCTTAAAGCGCTCTGCTAACCCGTGTTAACAGCAAAACAAGAGGAGTTAATCCGCTCAGCGTCCACATTGACCTTAATGGTCAGGAGCTGAGGCGAGAAACCTTTGGTTCAAGCGAGCGCAGATTAACACCAGATTGTTATTAAGCAGAAAAGAACAAAGAGAGAATGATTGAGCCGGTTGTCGTATTTCTCTATGACTTATCCGTAACCTGCATCTCTAAGCCACCTGATGCTGTGTGTCACTTCCAATTAGGCCAGATCTCAGTGGTAATTATAGACACTTTAATTGGCTCCAGTCAACCCTAAGGCTAAGGCTAAGGCTCAACACTCCAAGAAATACTCATTCAGCAGCAGGCAGCATGGATAGGAATTTCCCTGCCGACCGGTCACAAATAATGTTGTATATAAGTTCTAATGAGATGGACTATTTGTTGATGGATTTCCATAATGCTCAATGATTTCTTGGGGCAAATCCCACCGATCCCTCCAAAGCTTCCAGTTACTCGGCTGTAGCCGTTCAAGAGAAAAAAAAAGTAGGGTACAGGAGAGTGTTGAACCACAGGCGTCTAGTGCTAGTTTGCACATGTGCAGTGCAGATCGGGCGGGATGTACGGAGCGGGTACCGAGTGACCGGTAGCTTTAATGAGCCGATATATTATACCAATACCGGATATCAGATTGGTGCATAGACTTGTGTCCTTGCCAATATAAACTCTAATAATCAGGGTGAATTTAGGAAAAAATAAAAATCAGATATGATTTTAGATTTATTTAAGCGCACAGAGTCACCTTTAATGCAGCTGCTCTAATGCCGTTTGTCCTTGTTGCTTTTGGGTGGGCACCAAAAACACACACACCGTCTTCCTGCTCTCCCCTATGTGATGGAGGATATTGCCGTTAGTACTCAGGACTGGAGCGGCAGGAATCTGGTTATCAGATTGTCGGAACAGAGAAGTGACGAGCCCGCAGGTTACTGACACAGAGTGGAATTCATTCAGACGGAAAGAAGCCAACGGGACACTGACTTGACGCGGCTCGTGTAATGCCCGACATGACTGTGGGGTGATGCAATATACGTCGACTCGGTCCCACGATGACAATATAGCCTGCAATCAGGTGCTTATTCTCACAATCGTTTCAGTCATACCATGAAATATTTACACCAGGGTCAGTAAGGACCTCCTGTGGTCCGCTCAGCATCCTTCATCAATTTGCCAATAAGGTGTCATGTTACTGCCACAGAACAACTGTTGTTACTACGAAATTTTTAGTTGACAGACGGATCAATGAACTGTTTCAGCTCTAATCCATATCCAAAATGATGAGGTGAATCTATAACCAAAGTTAAAGCATGAAGGCTTTTATCACAGAATATGAAGCTCAAAAGTATGGAACTTTCTTTAGACACCAAGCAATGAAAACAGATCATTTTGCGTTCAGAAAGTTATGGTTACTGTCTGACACTCGATGTGCAGCATACCTCTGGCGGACGTGAAGTAAATGCTCCCTGTCCTGCAGAGAAACGCCGCCATGCATGACCGTCAGTCTGGAGGTCCTAACAAGAGCCAGACTGAGCCACATGATGGATCCCTGTGTCAACCGCTACGCGTGAAGGGGTTGAAAACATCTGGAGACTGACAAGGACTCGTGTTGGGCAAAGGCTGAACACTGCCGCGCATGGTTACCGAAAGACGCCGCAAGACTTCGGCTGTCATACAATACTGTCTTTGTCCCGCCTCTTAACTTGAAACTGGGAAGCAAGAGCACTCACTCACTCACACACTCACACACTCACACACACACACACACACACACACACACACACACACACACACACACACACACACACACACACACACACACATTTTTTGCGAGGACGCAGATGGAAAAGCACTTGCATAAACAATGCTCTACGGTTTAAATCTATTCGTTGAGGCTTAAGTTGCCATAAATGTAGAAGCTGTCAGTTCTACAGCAGAAATGATAAGTCAAATTATAGATTAATGGGTTAACAGAAAATATATTGGCAGCAATTCTGATCATTTATCATTTATTTGAGTAACTTTCTTAGCAAAGACAACCTGAAATGAATTGGTTTCAGTTTGTAAAATGTGAATATTCGCAGGTGTTTGTTAGTCTCCTACGACAGCGAGCTGATGACTGATGCTCTTTATTTTACAGACCTCCATTTTAATTACTTTTATAGAACATCTGACGATGAAAGATGAATCGAGAAAATAATGGCCAGACTAATCGATGCTGAAAATAATCATTAGTCAATTGCCGGCTTTTTTTGGAGGCAATACCGGCAACATTCCCCCTCATGTTTCTTTAAGATGTAATATGTCACTTTAACAATAAATAAGTGAAATACGGAAACAATAATGTGGCCACATTATCAGATGGAATTTCCATCTGGAAAAATGCTCATCAGCAACAATGCTAAGCTACACAGTGGCATTCAACATGCATAAAACCCTGCACCTTTAAACCACTGCCCACGGGTTTCATCCTATGTGGACTGTAGCATCTGATCTATTCCCCACACCTCCCATGTGATCTTTCTGCACATACTGTTACATAGAGACTATTAACCTATGAGCTCATTCACTGACTGAAGCGTTTTCACCCAAAACCCTCAAGCTGACCGCATCATTTTTGTTGGTTGCATCATCCCGTTAACTTCAGACACCCCGAGGGTGCAGCACTTTCTGGTGCAAAGAACTACAAAGTCTGGAATCACGCCGTGTTCAAAGTCGCTGAGCTCGTCGTAATATTTTTTTTTCCCAAACAATGACTTCACTTTTTGACCTTGTCTGCGTGTTTTACATCATTTCTTTTCCCTGTGGTGTTTGAAATGTGGGCAGCAGCTACAGCTATCAGTCAAGAGAGAAGAAAGCCATCATACGCTGGTGAGTGCACTGGAAAATAATGATGAACAAAAAGGAACATCAACAGCACTGAGCCAAACTAACGTTACATTCCCACACTTCATTTTCAGGGCCTCTAACCACGAAGCGTTGAACAATAGCTTCTCACAGATCAAGACACACAGAAGGACAAATTCAACAGGAACTGAGATCTTCCTGCTGCAAGAACAAAACAGCAAGAGAAAGTACCAAATGCTTTCTCTCTCACTCTTCATTTGATCGATATCAACCTATACTGATGTACATGTTGTGTTAACATATTGAGTTTGACTTTTGCTAGTGTAGATCTCGGAGTTGCTGAGAGGAATGATGTGTGGGAATTTTCAAAAACGAAATGCGAGAAATTAGTTGCCAGTCGCACGTTTCTTTAAAATCTAAATCACAGCTCATCATCAAGATAACAAACCCACACACACACACACACACACACACACACACACACACACACACAAAGACAATGTGCGCGTGGGTGTGATAGCCATTCAAAATCCTAAAGGAAGCTCTGTTTTTACCACCACACATTGCACTCATTGTAACAAATGACACAGCTGTCTGCACAAACAACACCTGCAACATTATGAATGCTGTTACTTGACTTTCTTCAGCAGGAGATTTGTATTCCCTCATGTGGAAAGCTGCAGTTGAAAAGTACTGCAAGTATAAAGCAGCTCTGTGTCATCATTTAGTCACATATGCTAGAGATAAACCATTTCAACATGAACACACCCAACCGATCCCTGTCCAACTAAGGGACGCTCTCTAAAGTGCAAACCAGACTTTCTTTTGAATAAAGCTTCATTTGAAGGAACCATCAATAGAGACTCAACCCTGTAAGCCTGCGTGGGGAAAGAGGTCACAAGATAAAGTTAAATAGAAAATGTGGCTGCAACACCATCACTGAAGGCTGTATACTGTGTAATTATAGCCTCTCTAGAATAATGATGTGTGCTCGATCAACACATGAGAGAAGAATACACATAAACATGTAAAAGTAGAGAAAAGCTGCTCAGTCATTTTAATGAGAATATATTTAACGTTATATTTAATTTCACAATAATATTTATTATCATTATTAGTATTATGTATCTGTGTATATCCTTATATATTCTTTTTTTTTGTGTCCTGTTTTTCACTGTAACTTTTGGTGGATTTGTACTGCATATCTTCAAAAATTGCAAAGCATTTGATCGGAAAACAAAAAGACTATTTGCAATACGTTGGTCCTAAAACTGTCACGTCGTTACGTTTTTCGTTAAAAGGAAAGTTAAGGAAAGTTACGGAAAGCTGCAAGTTCGTCAACTTATTTCCAGTTCAGTCGCGTGGTGAGTCTGGTGACACATCCTTCATGATGATGGCTGTTTGGGAAATGACACAACGTTCGTCAGTTTACTAGGAACATGCCACCACATGCTCGCCTGGCTCGTTAAACAGCAAAACAACTTGTGAGGAGACGATTTAGTCTGTTAAAATAAAGACAACACCGAGTAGGAACTTAAAGAAAGGCCACGCAGTGAGGAAAGTGAGCTGACGTTAACGTTTTTACGCTTTAACAAGAAACGGAGCGCGACAACACGACTGACACCGAAAACAACTTTTCAGGTGTTCATTTCACCTACCTTAAACTGACGTCCGCGAACACTCCACAAACATGGCTTCAGCTTCAGTAAATATGTCCACCAGTTTAAACTCTTCCAAACTAATCGTTTCGCTCAGTTGTCCGCTGAAGTGCTCACTCGACCATCTGGTGGGAAGATGACTCCGTGGTCTCGGGAAGCAGAAGTTGAACAAGCCACTCCTCGCGCAGAAAGTCTGACTCCAATTAGGATTCCACGTTTGCTGCCTTCAAGTGCCATCGGAAATGTTGACATCATTGCTACTTAAAAACAATCGACCAATCGGGTCTATAAAAGAATAGGCTTTAAATGTGACGTTTAGATGGTGGGGGGGATTTTAAGGCACTTACTGGTGACTTGAAGTCATGTTTTATACAGCAGCATGCGGCAAACGGACAGAATTAATTCTGCAGCAAGTTGCAAGACGTGATAGTTAGATTTGAAGCTCTCGCGCCCTCTGTCGCACAAAGTGGCCCTGTGTTTCAAATATATAGCAACAGCTCCTTAATTAAATTAATTAAACAACCGACCTTGCCATTTAATTAAGTAAATTCCGAGAATCGCTTGTAAACATCAAGAGGTTGAAAGTCTCATCTCCAAAAGCACCCAACAGAGAAAAGTTATAAATGTATTTTATGAGGTTTCTGTTGAATCCTGGAGTATGTCAAAATCTGTTGAAGAAGATATGACATCAAAAGCTGTTCTGGGGTTATATGAAAACTGAGTAATGATCTCGTCAGGGGTTTGGGATTAAAGGGTGGTATGTGAATGGATGTCTGGGCAGCACGACAACAGTGTCACAGCCTTTCACTTTATTTCAAGATGGCTATTTTAGCCTTATTCCCTCATCTTTCAAACCACCTCGTCTCTGTCAAAATTGTGTTCTCTGTTGTCCCCAGAAGAGTCCCCACTGTCTTTTAAATGAAGACAGACTGCTGCTTCTTGACCTGCGGGCTTTGTTCTATCTCGGCTATGTTTCACGTCCTGACATATGGGTCACATTTCTGTGTTTGTCGTGCCTTTGGACTGCACTTTGTCTGCTCATGTTTGCTGAGTGTTTTTTAATAGAGTGCTAGTTTCTGAAAAAGACAGGGATGCTTTGTTTATTGAGGATCCTACTGAGTGACACTCCAGCCCCATACGGGATGACTTATCGCATCTCCACTGCTTGTCTTCGTCTGCTCTTTCCAATAGCTCTTGTTTCTGTATAAACAAAGGCCTTCTCTGGGTGGTTGCAGGCTTTTCAAACTTTAGATGTCTGCACTTGTCTTCTGCCTCGATGCCATTTGACAAAGCGTCTGCCCTTTCTGTGATGAATCCTAATGAACCCCGACTTTTCCTCTGTTGTCTCCGTGTACGATGGAGTATTTACCAAAACAGAAATGATAGGACACAGATTGTGAAACACATTTTCCTTTCAAAGCTGAAACAATCCACAAAATATATTTGTAGAGATTATAGATTTTGCTCAGATTCCTGGCAGATGAAGTTCATAACTGCATTGTCACATGCATGAATTCAACTGTATTAAAGACAACAGTGTATATGATAATTTCTTACCTTTAAAAAACCCTTTCGGACATTTTTAATAAGTTGTCAACAGATCAGATATCATAATAAAACAGCCATCATATTTTCTTTTTCAGTGAATGTATTTCTTTATGTCCTTGAAATATTTGAGCTCCCTCACAATACTTGTGCATCCCTTCAAAGTACATTTTGCTTGTCTCACACCGGTAGTTTTGCCTTCTTATCATTATTATTTGTGTTCCCGTAAAATATGTGAAGGCAAGATTAAAGAAACATTTTATGAATGTATTTATTATCATGGTGAAGTGTAATGTGAATTCAGTACATGGTTGTAAGAACAAAGAAGAGGAAGTCCTCATCGAGGCCTCTATTTATAAGGCGAGAGGTAATACCATAGTGAACCCCCACGTGGTGCCTCTTGTGGAGAGGAGGGTAAAAAGGCTGCAGTTTCTAACAACAGGGTCTTTTTTCTCCATGTTATCGGAACAAGGGAGTGGACATGGGGCTTTAATGGATTTGCTTTTTGAGAATTGTTTCTTTCAAAACAGGGAGTTCATGCCGTCCGAACATGTTGAGCCACAGTGTGATAAATCACACAATTGACTTTTTCATTTGATGCCATTAACACATGTGCGTTTCTCATCCACCTTTTGGCTTGTTTACATGTTGTAGTGCTTCTTTGCTGGCACATTTCCATGTAGAAGCCCAAGCGTTTAGACGCTGCTTTAATGTTTATGTTTGCTGACTGCATTTCAACATCTTTGGCCTTGACATCAGATATTTTTAGCGTTTCTTCTAAACTGCTTGTTGGCCACCAATCAAAATCCACAATCGGACATGAATGTATATAAAAGTGCAGCAAAAACAAACAGCAAATATGATTACTGGCCGATCAGATCCAATTCACCACACAAAGACACACTGAAGTCGTGTTTTTATCAATGAAAGCGGCAGATAGTGGCGCGTAAAGGTATTGCGCAATGATCACGTGCAGCGATTCAACTTCGTCCAAGGTCTCAGACTTCATGACACTTGTACATTACTGTGAATACTGACGTTTACACGCAGGAAAGCTGAACTCTTTGGGGATCTGAGGCGTGAAAGCATCTGGAAAAAAATGACAACTTGTTGGAGAACTAATGCCCATGTTTTTTTTCTTCTCTCACAGTGTTCAGAAATGATGCAAACGATCAAATCCTTGTGACCACTGTTCCTCTTTGTCACTGCAGTCTTTCTGAATCTGGCAAATAATGACGGGCAACCCTGTTTGTCTTAATTCATTTAGCAGTTTTTTGTACCTGGTGCAGCAGAATTCACTCACCAAATACATGACTACAGCTGACAAAACCTGATTCTTCATTCCACTTAAGACGACCCGTGCACATAAATATTTTAGTGCTGCAACTAAATTAAATGAATCGATTAAACACGTTTGTGACAGTGATGTGTTTAAACGTCTGTAAATATCTATGTTGTTTAATGTATAGTTACATAAAAAAAGTTACAAATTAATTTTCTTTCAATCAATTCATCGATTTATTGTTGACGCTCTTAAAAATATCTGCTCTAAAATCAACGTTTTATGGCCATTTTATCACCAAAATAGATACCTTAAGTATTGTCAGACTGTTAGTTTAAGTATGTAAGTTCATCAAGCAGTTGACAGAAGATTCAAACAAAGATTTATTCAAATAGTTATTCAAATAGTAAATCCATTTTCAAATACATATGGTTTAAGCCTTTGGCTGCTTTGAGAGCACTATTACAGCAGCAGCAGAGAAGTAATTTCAGGACCAATGAAGAGAGATAGTATTCCTCTCATTAGCACAAATTATTACAAGCCTCCAGTGACAGGCAGCGTTTAACGGTCCACCCCCTCACTGGCAGCACTAGTTAAACTGTGGTGTATCGAGCCGGACCAGGACAGGAGCGGAAAGGAGAGGGCCCACTGGGGAAATCAGACAGGAAGGTGGGGTTGTGAGACGGTGAAGTCTCCATCAAGGCCTGCCGTTTCTTGCGGTCACGCCTCTGGTAGCGGAAGTTAAAGGGGGGTCGCAGTGCTACAGGGCCTCCGATCTCTTCAGAGGATGAAGCAAAAGGATCAGCACCTGGAGGCCGCTGTTGCTGGTTTACTAGATGTTCATCCGACTCACTGGAAGATGAGGTGAGGGGGTTAGAGGGGTTAACCACAACAGGGGGGTCAAAGGGCACAGGGTCAAAGGGCACAGGAAGAATGGGCGTGGGGTCAAACAGCTCTGGTTGAACAGCAGGGGGCGATGTAGGGTGAGAGGGAACAGGCAGAGGATCATTCCCTGGGTCGTCGATCAGAGTCGGGAAGGTTGGGATCGCAGGGTCCTGAGGGAAGTCGTGACCCTGAGGCCGCACCGGTCTGAGGATGTCCACATTCTGTAGACGAAGAGACAAGATCACACTAAACTGATATTTGACAAACTCACTCTTGTTGGCATGCAAAACGAGTCTCAGTCACGCCATATTACATTACACACCACAGCTCGAGAAAGGAGTGAGAAGACAACATAATTATAGCACAGAACCATCCAATTTTAAATCTCACACATCAGTTTAAACACACACAAGCGCAGCATACATTTGAAGACACCACACAAGATGTGACAGAATAATTACATGGCCAGTGGCAATCATTCAGAAAGTTGAATTATAATTTTAAAGGGTGCTTTAGTAAAACCTGAAACAAAACAGCATAAAACATTCATCAAATATTGCTCAGGCAGTGGGTTATTATGTATGACTGTCACTTCATAATACATAATGCTGAATTTTTCCACTTGACTGACTTACATTGTTTAATGCACTTGAATGCTCTGTTCTTTTTTGGGGTGTACATGTTGTTTCTGCTATGAGTGTTAAACCTCTCTGCTGCTGATTTCCTGTATTTAATTCACTGTCAAGGAGAATCTAAATCATTTTATTTTGTAGTCTTTGAGTCAGATTTCACATTAGGTCAAAGCATCGCCATGAATCTGATTTACTTTGTGTGTTTGTTAAAAAATAACACGAAAGCTCAGAAAACTGCAGTAATATGTTTGCAGCAAGAAGAGGATAGAGTTTAAATCTTTTTACGTTCTCATGCCCATTTTGGACGTATTGATCATGTAACTTTGTAACTTTGTCACACTTAAGAAATTGCAGCTGCCACTTTGGCTTAATTCACTCAGAGATATGTATTGGTCCAAAACATATTTATGACCACGGCAAATACCTTGTATTCTACCTTGAATGTTACGAATATGTTTCTGATTTTGATGGTAAATATTTTCAACAGCTTCCTGTACCTGCTTTTTGAACATCTCACAGGACACCTGGACATCAGGATTGACTTTCAAGTCTCCGTGCACAGATCCTGCACAAAACCCTGCAGTCTGAGAGAGACATTTTATTAATTTATTTTAAGATACTGGGTCACACTAAGAAAAAAACCCAAAAGGATAGAGCAGGGAGGGAAAGAAATGTAAATAATAATAACATAATAAATTAAAAAAGGAGGAGAGGACCTGTCAGGCTTGTTTGATAAAACAATCAATAACTGCAGCCTTTTAGCGGTTAAAATTAAACATAAATCTGTGAAGTAATACTTCCACGAGCTGCGTCAGTGATAGTAAACCATATGCTGGCTGATTGATGTGTATTTAAGTTTTCGGAACAGCATTAATTAGCGTCATAACAGTGTCAAGACAGAAATCCATTCTTTTAATTAATGGAGCACCTTCAGATAATGTTGTTGCACTTTGAAGAAACATTTCTATGTGTCCAAATCAGGATTAGAATGATACGCAACTCTGGTTTTCATGTGGATTTTTAACTATCAGAGTGCAATACTAATTTAGCATTTTACTTGTCTAATATGGTATGTATATTGTGTTGAGTTAATGTCTTAAATTTCACTCTCCGTGTTGAGTACCTCTGTGTCAGACTCGAGTGTCAACCGCTGGCAGGTGCCTCTTTCTGTCACTCCCTCTGGACACTCTTGGACTATGTACTCCACAAAGCTGGCTTTCACAGGTGCAACCTTAAATATATAAAATAACATATTAAGAAAAGGGAAAATTGCACAAATAAACAAAGACAGATACTTGATATGGTTGCTGTATGTAAAGGCTATCATCTTGGTTTTAGAGTACCAAGAAATGTTACCTAAGGGGTATTACATAGCAATATTCTGAGCTTTCATCCCCAAGTGAACTATTCAGTTTCTCATTTTCTCCCCAAACAATACCCTGGCCAAATTGCGAGGCCTAAAGTGCCTTCAGTAATATTTTGCAACCTTGCTGACTCTTGTATCATTATGGTATTTGTGCAGTAAAGGTACTCATCTGGCACACAAAGGCGCACTGTGCACCATCTGCTCATGTACACCCAGAGCTTTTTCTTGAGTGTCATTTCCTAATAAACGCAACATTCAACACGTTGTTGTGTAATGAAATCGGCCCCAGAGCTTTGTTTGTCCAATCAGAGTTAATAACTGGGGTCTCCGGTCGTACCTGCGCTGCAGCTCTGGTGATCTTCTTCACTCCGAGCCCTGCACCCACTGGTGACTGTCTCTTATAGAACGCCAGAGTGACCTGAGCAGCAGTCACAGCCTGTGGGCTCCCCACTGGGAGCAGGGTGGGGCAGGTTGGACAAGTCTGCTGGAGCTTCCCTGGGGGATCTACAGGGACCAGACGCAGAGAATATAATATAACATTTGTACTGAGTTGCAACAAGAAGCTATCGTATATGCAGAATATGTTGGGCAGAAACGCATGGACAATGAATAAAAGCAGTTATTAGAAGTGTTCACAGTAAAAGCTGTATTTGCAATAAACATGTTCTGGAATATCTTTTGTTAAAGCCCAAAATGCAAATGTAGTAATACAGGTGTTTATACTGATATAACACAATGGGGAAAAACAATAGTTTGAGTTTAGGGTAATAGACATTTCTCATACCTGATAATTAGATTTGTCATAGAGGGGAATGCCCAGGTGTAAGGTGTTCCATTTGTGTCAGTAAGCCAATGTCAACTCATAGATTTTCTTATCTTTATGATAAGCCTTGCACACCGAGCAATGTTACTACCACAAATATTACTTGTTAGAGAAATTCAAACCAGCACCAGCTTTTGCAAGACCAGTGAGATGCAACATTCATTCATTAAGATACAAAACCATACAATATGTCATCCATCACAGTATGATCATCCATATTTTCTGGTATCAAAGCTCCTTTTAATATCGTGTTGTAGAATTTTTTTTGATACGTTTCAAGCACCTTGTATGTCATCTAACGATGTCGCCAGTGTTACCTGGGACAAGAGTGCAGTCGTAGCTGTACAGGTAGGAGTATCCCTCTGTTGTGTGGAGCATGGTGGTGTTACAGATGCCAGAGATTTGCTGAAAAGAATACAATAGAAAGAAACTCAAGTTATACCAATAAATGCTGTTTTACATAGATATTGCAACATGTGACATACCTAGAACAGTCCATGTCAACGTGACTTTAAATGTGTGTGTGCTCTTGTGCTTCCATCTTTGCAAGAACCAAAATGATTGACCTGGAGAGTGAGGGCATTTTTTCCCGTCTTCTTCAATGGACTGTTTGCGGGGTGAGACCTTGGTTTCAAGGTTTAACGTTAGAATTAGGCCAACGTTTTCCAAATTTTCAAAATTTAAGATTAGGGGCTACGCTGCAACAAATCCTCTTCTGCAAATGAACAAAATATTATGGAGGATATAAAGAAATGTGCTTGTATCAAAATATAAACCATGAATTCAAGATAAAGGTGATAGAGTGTTTTCAAGACATTGCGACTGTCGTAAACTGCCCTTTTGTCAATGTGAAGGGAAAGCATTATGTCAACAAGAGATATGTGTGTGTGTGTGAGTGTGTGTGTGTGTGTGTGTGTGTGTGTGTGTGTGTGTGTGTGTGTGTGTGTGTCCTACTGTTTCCATGAATGGTCTGACGTCACAGCGTTTCCATGGTTTTGGGCTGCCTATGTGACACTTGGTCTCCAGGACATCCAGGTCCAGGTAATACACATTGCCTGCTGGGCCCTGACAGGCACAATGCAAACACAAGCAATGAGAGAGTAGAGGTATACAAGCAACGCGGTGTGCTCAGAATTTCCAACAGTACTGTTATATGCGCCAATATTTTTATTCATGTAATAAATAGAAGCATGACACACGTTTTAGTATTTATCCGTGGCTCAAATGTATTGGTTGGTCTTCTGTCAAGTACATTCATTTGTTCAGTTACATCTTTAAGGAACCATTTAGGAGGTGCTCTGTGTAATTCCCCAGAATACTTTGGACCATATTGATTTTAGCTGTAGCACTGAAAACAAATCTCAACGATTTGAGCAGGTGTAATGGCAGCCGTTTCAGGTCATGAAGTTAAACGGAGACTCTTAAAACCGGATCCATCCCACAGCCGGGCTACGATAGCCTTCAGCAGCGGACAGCATGAAGTTCGTAAAGCCTGTTGTGTAAGGTCTGTCCCAGCGGTCCTGGACTGAAATGACCTGGGCTTTTATTAACAGTCACTTCAGTCCTAAAGGCCTTTTTTCATGAGGCGTGAAAGAGGGTGGCTTCTCATTTTATGACATAAAATTCTGTACATGAATTTTATTGTTACATCTATTATGAGAGGCATTGGCTGATGAGTCATTCACCACAAAGCGCAAAACAACAAATATGAATCGTTGTTTTCATTCTTTAGTGTTTGCACACTAATGTAATTGCTGCTATTTTTCACATCTTTGATGTACTTCAAGGGTTCCCAAACTAGGGTCTGGGGACCACAATAAGTCCTTGAAAAGGAGAGTTTAATTTCATTATCACTTCCCCAGTGTGAGAATCAGCACATTGTAACAATGCAAGAGGGAGGTTTCTGATTAAAGTTTGACTGTGCGCAGTCATTTGTAACAACAAAACACAAATCGTCTTAAATGGGATCCCACTGACATCAAGATTGGCCACGGTTGGTTAAATCTATCAGTGTGTGACTTCCTTTTTTCACAGGGATTTTTTGATATATCAGCCACAACAGAAGGGAAAACAACCATTCCAACACACTCCCCTTGTTAAACATGAACAAATCACCCACTGACAGAATATTACAACAACCCCAGGCAGGTTTTCCAGCTGGGCATTTGTCTTTGCACTGACCTGAGCATGCAGGTGGACATTTGCAATGCGGTTGAGGGCAAACTTGTAGCCATCGGTGCGATCCTCATTGATGTAAGTGACCGCCATACGAGACAGCTTCTCCACTGCTTTGTCATTACAGGGGATGGGAGCAAGTTCGATAGGCGACAGTGGAAAACCCTCACCGTACACACTCAGTGTGTGAGTAGATAGCAGGGATAACAGCAGTAATAATGTGCAGATAGATTTGTCCATGGTGGCAGAGGTTCCAGACAGCAGCTAAAAGACAGAACTGGTTTAAAGGTACGTTTGTTCTCTTGTGTTTGCGTTGGCTCCCTGCAGTGACTTTTGGAATGAAAACAGGACGGAGATGTTGAAATGATGCCAAGGACAAAGTTTATTTGTTGTCAGAGGGCTGATACTTGTGAATGAATGTTCCAGTGGTTCATTCAACCTGGGGAACACTCTTTACCTATCCGAAATATACTGTAGATAATACACATAAGTTACTTTATATGCATCCAAAAACATGATTAAAGGCTATTTTATTCTCTGTTTGATCCTGATCCAAAGATGCATGCAGGGCATTTATGAGGCCTAGTTTAAAGCAATAGTCCCCATTTACATTTTAACTTATAACCAAAGAATTACATTGAGCCATATGTTGTGGCTGCAATGTGAGCATCTCACCACAAGGGGTCACTGTGAGTCTGGTGTGCTGCACTGGAGGGAAATCTGGTAAAACTGTTGGTCCACCAGTCAGAACTGGGTTAATGATTCAGTTACCCAGTGAATTGCTTTCCGTATTAGACTTGCTGCTGTATTAGAACCTCTAATATTTGGGTTTTGTGTCTTGATTTTACTGAAACACAAATCAAGATTCAGATTGACCCTTAATCAAGCAATGGTCATTATTTCTGCTGTTCCAGTTCATTGTGTTATTTACAAAAATTAATTCAGATGAATTTATTATAAATGGGATTTTCACTATATATAGTTTTTATTTCAAAGCAGTTAACCAGGCTCGACTGTGTGTGTGTTATGGGTGGGGTTCACACCTTTGGAGCAGTGAGATT